AATTTTAAAAAATTATATCTTTAAAATAATTACATAAATATTTACATCATTTGTTCCATTTACAACCTAGTTTTGGTTTTACTGGGTTTAGGGTATTTGTAACAATATGACAATGAATGGAAGTAAAAAGTCTAGGCACATCTCTTTTTAAAAGTACAATTAATATAATTTAAAAAGCACTTAGTACCTAAACTATGCAAACTGGACCCTTGGTGGTACCATGATTAAAGAGTCCAACTGCCAACCGCAAGGTCAATGATTTGAACCACTCACTCGGAGGTGAGAGATGTGGCAATCTGCTTCACAAAAGACAATCGTGGAGGGGAGCTCTGTTCTGTTATGGGGTTGCTATGAATCAGAATCAACTCAATGGCAATGAGTTGGTTTTTGAAGTCCATGTAAAAGTACAAGACTGAAAGTTCTCCTCATTGCATTTAACAATCCAGTTTAGGAAAAGATAAATATGCATGAAGCAACCAATAAAATTTCAGTGTGGTATATACCCTTCTAGATTATAATCTTTCCCAATTGCCATTTTAGAAATGCAAAGCTATTGTAACAATGGTCAGTATAATAATTATTCCACTAGGCCAGCTAGGGAGAAATTCTGTACACTAAGAATCTGTTACAACAATTTCTGATATAGACCATGACATTATCTTGAGGATTAAAACTCCTTGGAAAAAACATCAGCTTGGAAATGTGGAGAGTCTGCAAAAGGGAGGAGGCTCCTCAACAAGATGGATTTGTAAAGTGATTTTAACAATGGGTTCAAGTAAATCAGAGTTGATGAGGATGGAACAGTACAGGGTGGGATACAGATCTACTATTCACAGGGTCACAGTGGGTTAAAGTCCACTCAATGGCACCTAACAACAACTTCTCAGACTTTACAACAAAGTCCTTTTATTAATTATATGTTTTAGCAAAAATATAGTGGTAAACTGCCTTGGTTATACTATTGCCATATCACATTTTAAAATTCCTACGTACAATATGGATATTACATAAAATTTAGCAATTGAGAAAAATCTAGTTAGGACAGAAAATGGAGAAGACACCACCAACTTCCAAATTAATACTATTCTCACCCAATACCTGCTCAAATGAATGATGGCGAGCTCTGGAGGCCCAGTGATTAAGAAGCTGCACTGCAGCACAAAGGCACATGGTTCAAATGTACCAAGTACTCTGTAGGAGGAGGATGGACAATCTGCTCCTGTGGGATATGAAAACCCACTGGAGGGTCTGTTATGGTTTGGTTCTGACTCAATGGCAAACAAAAATAACAACAGTGGAAAAAATATCCAATAGTTTTTCCAAAGTTTTTTCCTGAGGGTCACATAGTTTTAGTTCTTAATTTAGAATTGTTGTCTGTTCTCAAGTCAATTCTGACACACAGTATAGCTTAACGTGACAGTGCAGAACTGTCCCACAGGGCCGGGTTTCTAGGCTGTACTCTTAATAGAAATTGTTTATTAAGTGCGCACTAAGAATTTATACTCACAGAGATTAATATGAAAGTATTAACTAGCAAAATTCTAAAAACTTTTTTAAGTCCCCCCAAAACGGGAAAGACTTACCTGCCTATGTACCTATCCATCTGAAAACTCCCTTAGTGTCAGGTACAGTTCTATTAATGAAAAGTGTGAATGAGGAAGTAAAAAAATCTTAAGAAATGCCAAAGTTCCATAATCAGGAAAGTCATCCTAAATATACTGGCTTTCTTTAATGTAGAGACATCAAACCAAAATTAATAAAATCAAGTATTTTCCCCATATATGCATCTCCATTAATGTATTACGCTAATACATAGTTTTCTATCAAGTTTTCTTGCTATACAAAGTAGAAAGTATAGTATTAAAAGTATAAATAACATAATTGCCTTATTTGGCCTTTGTAACATTTTACAAGCATGGTCATGTAAGAAAATTTATTTAATATTAAATTAAAATCACTTGTTTTTCTGATACCTCAATAACTTAAAAAGTGACTTTTCCTCTAAAACATTTAATATTTCTTTCTACAAAAAAGCACTGTTTCATTTTTTTAAGCTTCAATCAGTTACTAACAAAACTTTTTTAACCCAAATTTTACTCAAATTTCAAAACCAGTTTTAGATTTTCAAAGAATTTTACTACACGTGAGTCATTATTTAAAAGATTTAGCAAATAAAGTGCATACATTCAGAAATGAAAAATTAAATTATTGGTAAGCATCATTCAAAACAACATTGTAATTGTTATTAAAACAAAACCTTACTTGTCTGGGTTTTTCACTCTGAATGTTGCATTAAGCGCTTTTAACCTGGAGTCTGCCTGGAAAAAATAATTTGGTAACTTAATACAATAACATTTCAGAGTATAAAATTAAAACAACTTTACTTTCCCTTCATAATTAGGATGCTCAAGTATAATTTTTCTTAATATAATCTTCTTGTCATACACATTAAAACTTATCTAAAAAGCCCCCAAACAGCTTAGTAGTCTTATTTTTAAAAACACTACAGAAAACATATTATAAAGTAAATTGAATACACAATATTTAATGAAACCATATTAAACAATGGCCAGTGCCAATACAACAGAGAGATATACATAACTCAGCGTTAAGTGGTTTTATAAAAAAAGTAGTCATCTTTTCTGTAAGCCACAAAAAAAACCCCAATGATTTACACATACAAACTATCACATTTTATGCAAATAATGCATTTGCTATATGTTTTGCAATTTTGCAGCTCTCTGGCAAGATGATCTGTGTCTGCTATGTGCCCTATGTGACTATGTGTGATATTCATGAGAAGACACAAAAACCAATATTACTATTTTGTATAAGACCAAACCAAATGTACATTTTGATGACCAGGATTTTAGAAAAAAAAAATTTAAAAGAAATATGGAAATGCCCATACTAAAGCAATGCTAGTTTCTTGTTTTCTAGCTGCTACTGAAGCGGACTCATGATGACCCAAAGTGGGGAGAAAGTACTACTGAGAAACATTTTAGTTATAGATACTGCTCTCAAAGAAAGGACCAGAAAACTACCAAAAGAGGGACATTAAGTAATTATTTCACTAAATTAAATTATTTTTATTTTCTTTTTTCTTTGGCATACCGTCACATTGGATCCGACTAGTACAGGAGGAGTTTGCCCCTCCTTCTCCAGCAGAGAGCATCTGGTGGATTCGAACCATGCACCTTAAGGATTGCAGTGCAGCTTCTTGCCAGTAGGCCACCAATGCTTCCAACTACATTAAATTTATATTGAGCATATCCAAATTCTACCCTTTTTAAGTGCTCATTTAAAAAAAATCAAGTAACTTCTTTGACACAGAAATTTGAGGGCTCTTAAGTCAATCAGAAATCAGTTTCAAAACTCCCAATCAACTACATAACTTTTACATTACTGCAACTTCCAAACCAAATAAGCCCAATTAATTTAAAAAAAAAAATGACAAAACATTCTAAGGGTTCCCCAAATTGCCTGGCAAATAAAGACATATGCAACAAATGTTACCCCACAAATTCAGCCTTTTAGAACTCCAGTCCAAAAAAAATTCAAAGAGCTATCAATATTCAATTAAGCACTGATTTCAGGAGCTTCCCTTATTTCAAATATCAGTATTTCATCAATTCTTACTGTTTCTTATATCTGAAAAGCCAAGTTAATACATGTGAAAATCCCCTGAATAAACATATTTATGAGTTTAAGGCATAAATCTGGTGGCTTAGTGGTAAGAAACAGCACTGTAATCCCAAGGGTACGCATTTTGAATCCACCAGCTGCTCCACAGGAGAAAGATGGACAATCTCCTTTTTTTTCTTTCTTTTTTTTTTTTATGAGCACTTAAAAAGGATAGGATTTGGATATGCTCAATATAAAAATTACTGCCTCTGAAAATGCAATATTTTCCCATGCAATTTATTGTCTCTGAAAACCATCAGTTTTGAGGTAGTTCTGACTCAATGACATATTACTTCCTTAAATTGTATAAAGGAGCCCGTGGGTATAGGGCATAATGTATCAGCCTGCTAATTGAAGGGCTGTAGTTCAAATCCTCCAAATGATCCATGGGAGAGAGATGGCCAGTATCTTCCTGTGAAGATTTACAGCCTCAAAAGCCCAGAGGAGTGGCACTGTGAGTCAGAATCAACTCAAATGTAATGGGATTGGTTGGCTGGTTATATTCTTAAGTAGACTAAAATCACTATATAACTAACTCCAACTAGTCAATAAGCCCAACAATTTCATAACCTATTACCTCTCCAAAATTATCCTTTTTACCCTACTACCGCCTCCTTTCGTAATTATTTCCCTTCTTCTACACCTTTCAGTTTTTCTTTCTTCCATGGTTACCTGCCATCAATTCTATTACTATTGTTGTTCTTGTGTACCATCAAGTCAGACAATTCATAGGTGACCCTCGAGCGGGTATTCAGAAGCAGTTAAATTGCACGGGAAGAGACTGCCATCCTCCCACAGAACAGCTGGTGGATTCGAACCAAATGCCTTCAGGATTGCAGCTAGACCACCAGAGCTCCCAGTACTAAGCTATTTTCCATCTTGGGCATCTCTACCATCCCTCCTCCTGCTGCTATGTTCAGTCCACTCAAGTTCCTTATTATTCAGGCCTCAACTTGCGTGCTATCTCCACAAAGTCAAGTGACCACGCAGCCAGACTGACCAAGACAGTCCTGGCTTACACCTGTTATCCTATTCTAATTTTTGTTGTTGTTTGTTGTTGTTGTTGTTATGTTCCATCGAGTCACTTACGACTCATAGCAACCCTATGTACAAGAGCCCTAAACACTGCTCTATCCTGTGCCAACCTAACCATCTCTGACACACTCTTTCCCATCACCCAAATCACAGAACCGATCCATCTCATCGAGGGTCTTCCTCTCCTGTGCCGACCCTCCACTCTCCCAAACATGATGCCCCTCTCCAAGGACTGGTCCCTCCTTGCAACATGCCCAAAGTATGTCAGACGAAGCTTCAGAATCCTTGACTCCAAGGAGCACTCCGGCTTCACCCTCTCCAGGACAAACCTGTTTGTTCTCCTAGCAGTCCATGGTATATTCAACACTCTTCTCCAGCACCACAGCTCAAAGGCATCAATTCTCTATCATCCCTAGTCACTGTCCAACTCTCCAATGCATAACACGTAACTGAGAAGACTATAGCCCGGATCAGGTGCACTTTAGTCTCCAGTCTGACGTCATTGTTCTTCAGTGCTCTTGAGAGGTCCTTGACATCTGACTTTCCCCAATGCAATTCGTTTCTTGATTTCCTGGCTGCTGGTATCAAGAGTGTTGACTGTGGAGCCAAGTAAACTAAAACTGTTAACTATCTCGATCTTTTCACCATTCATACTAATGCTGCCAATTGGCCCAGTGGTGAGAATCTTTGTTTTCTTGATGTTGAACTTCAATTCGTATTGAAGGCTGCAGTCCTTGACTTTCTGCATCAAGCGCTGTTGTTTAGAAAAAATTCTATTTAGAATTAGCCAGCTGAACTCACTTCAGATGACCCAAATTTTGTGGGCAACATACAAAGCATCATAATGAGGAGTAAGTGGAACATAGGCCTTCTTCTCTCCATCAGGCCTAATCAAGGTGTTGACCTTGGCCAATCAATGTCATAGAGTTTCTTCTCAGCTTGTTTGATCTACTTGTTGGCCTTGACACCCACAATGAACACAAGTGTGTTATTATCTTCTGTCTTCTTCATGGCTGACTCAGTAGTCAGGGGAAACTTGATGATGGCATTGTGGTCATGCTTTTTTCTCCTGGGCATGCTCTTCAGGAGGTATTTGGACTGCCTTCAGAGTCTCAATGTCTTAGGCTGCCATAAGTTGGGTAACGTGCAGGTCATGGGGCAAGGGGGAGTGGATGCCCTTCAGGGCTGTGTTCTTGGCCTTTAACACCTTTGCTTTGGCTTCAGTTTTGGGAGGGGCAGGGACTTCCTTCTTCGCTTTCAGCATCATCTTCGTAGAAAGACACTACTATTCTGATTATTAAGTGCTCCTTTTTACTCTCAAGACTGCTGAGATAATTAATAGAATAATTAATTTTATGGTCACGCTTTCTCCATGTAACTCCTAAAAAATAATCTGTGTCATCACACTCTTTTTAACAGTGCCCTGCTTTACTTCCTTTATAATAAACATCATTGTTTTAAAGTATCTTGAGTATGGGGGGATAGATTTCTATCTACGTACACTGGCTCACTTTGTTGTTGTTGTTCTGTGCCGTCAAGTCAGAATGAACTCATAGCTGACCCCTCCCGGGGGTTTGCAGAGACTGTAAGTTGCACTGGAGGAGACTGTCCATCCTTCTTCTACAGAACAGCTGGTGGATTTGAACTTTATGCCTTTAGGATGGCAGCACAGCTTCTTACCACTAGGCTACCAGAGTTCCCTAAAGTATCTTGTGTTTTTTATTACATGCTAGCTTAATTGTCTTCAACCATTAAAATAGAAGCTTCATGTGGCCAGATATTGTTTCTAATTCATTCATCACTGCTTTAACAACACCTGAAAGATTATCTCACACTGTCTGCATCCAACATTTGTCATTTGTAAGCTAGCTCTCCCAATGTTCCTGTGTAATAACATACAGATAAGCAGAGATGTCAAGGATGCTGACCTTGGTTCTAATAGTGCTCCATGCAAACAGAGAGGGTTTCTAGATTCTTTGGAATCATCCTAAACATATTTACAATGTGAGTATGTGACACAATGCTTATTTTCATCACTGAGCTAACTTCTTAAATAACATTACTTTATACTAAAAGACATCAGTGTAGAGACTAAAAGTGCATCTGGTCCAAGTCAGGGCTCCACAATTATTTACTATGTATCAAAGAGCTGGACAATGAATAAGGATGATAGAAGAAAAATCAATGTCTTTGAGTTGTGGTGCTGGAGAAGAGTACTGAATATATACCATGGACCACCAGAAGCATAAACAGATCTGTCCTGGAAAGGGTAAAACCAGGCTGCTCCTTGACGGCAAGGATTTTTGAGCCTCTGTCTCACGTTTTGGGCATGTGACCAGGAAGGACCAGTCCTTGAAGAAGGACAGACATCATTCTTGGAAAGGTGGAGGGAAGGGCAAGAGACAAAGACCCCAGATGAGATGGAATGACACAGTAACTGGTAATGGGATTAGGTATCTCAGAAACAGTGAGATTTGCTCAGGATAGAGCAGGGTTCAGAGCTATTATACACAGAGTCATTATGAGTCACAAGTGACTCAATGTCATTAAAAACAACATACTAAGCAAACAAGTTCATTCCACACCAAATTAAAAAAAA